GAGAGAGAGAGAGAGAGAGAGAAAAAGTAAACCGATCCGCTACTTTCAGTTTACGAGTCAAACGCTGTGCATACGAGTCAAACGCTGTGCATACGAACAAAAACTAAAAGAAACCAAACAACCTACAAGTTTGAAGTATGTCTTGCTAATCCTTTTGCTTTTGTCCACTTCACTTTTACAAAGCTCTCTGGGGTACAGAACAGTCTTGACTAGCTGAGAGCTCTCTTTGTCTGTAATGTACTTGCTTAAATCATTTTACTCAAGACCACTGCGCTGTGGAAAGACAAAGCATAGAGCTTCTCCACCACGTTCTTCCAATCACAAAATTTAACGTAGCAATTCCCGCGGTCAGCCGCACTTGGCTTGCAATAACTTCATATCGTCACACTATGTAAGCGTGCCAAAAATCAACCTTGAACTTGAACTCTCCCGACCCAGTTTTGTACGAGGAGAGAAAAAAAAGCAACACTACCCACTGGAATGTTTTATCAGCACAGCATAGATAGATATAGTTATAGTTATATAGTCCTATAATCACGCGACAAAGGTACCCAGTACATGACGAGCTGTTCCCACCAGCAAAATCTGACCCCCGTGTGACCTGGCGGTACAAAACAGAACAACAACAACAGGACCGACATTTACCACAGCAATAACCTGGAAATTTGCCTTTGGTATAATGAACAAGGAGAAGACAAAAATTGTAATTTCTAAGCCAGAACCGCATAAATGACAAACCAATAGCTAACGACACAAATCAAACGTAGGCCTACTTCCACCACTAATTTCCCCCTGTCAAATTTTCCAAAAACCCGTTTTAGCACACATTTCTACCAGACAGCAGTGGCTGAAAATTACCAACTCTACCCCCCCTTCCCCAACAACTTTTGCGTAAAAAAAATAAATTTAGATTTTGTTCCTCTACAACATATCAAACAAAGGAAAATATCTTTTTCGGAAAAAGCTTATGGTCTGCAAAAAAGACAAAGATAGTCACAAAATTAATTTTTACCAGCGGTTTTAGCACATATTTCTTGCAGGGGAAACCCCAGACTTTTTGCTGCTGTTGTTGTTGTCGCTTTCTTTTCCTAACCGCACACAAAAAAACCCAACAAATTCCTAGTCCGAGCTTTCTGATACCGTTCCAAACTGTGTGAGCTGGCAGAGAGCAATATTCTAGAGAAATAACATGCCAGGGTGGCCTAGAGGCGAGGCAACACCCCAAGCCGTATGTATGAACAGAAGTCGGAGAAAGGACTGGAAGAGAGACACAATCAAACAGAGATAAAGCAGGTCAGTGTTAGCAGAACCAGACAAAACAGGAACAGATGTGATGTCGGGTGAGTTGCGATGGTGTGTGTGTATGTGTGTTGTGTGTGCGTGTGTGTGTATGTGCCCGTGTTCGTGCGTGTCCATGTGTATGAGTGTGAGGAAGTTGCAGCCACTTGCTAGGCTCAGTGATCCCTGCATAACCCCAGACAAGAGCAAGTAACCCCAGATAGGGGCAAGTAATCCTAAATAAGGGCAAGTAACTCTCCACGAGAGAATAAATAAATTGCCGCCTGCCAAAATGAGACAGCAGTGGCTGAAAATTACCAACTCTACCCCCCCCCCCCCCCCAACAACCTCTTGCCCCCCAAAAAATCTAGATTTTGTTCCTCTACAACATATCAAACAAAATATCTTATTCGGAAAACGTTTATGGACTGCGAAAAGACAATGCCTGTCACAAAATTAACTTTTACCAGTGGTTTTTGTCTTATTCTCAGCGGCGATAGTCTCCTTTTGACATTTTGTTTCACAAACGGGCTAACCCAGATTTCGGGGGTTTCCAGAAATCTTGACCTACACCAAAAGTGGGCATTGCCCTACCTATAGGAGAAGTTTGGTTTAATTGATGTGTATATTTGTTTGGTTATAGAGAAAACTTTCCTCGTCTTTTAAAGAAACTGAACAAGGGGAAAAAACTTTACCTTCGATTTTTTCAAAACAGCATTTTTCAGGAAAGCCCCCTTGTGCTTAAATTAAAAGCAACCAAATATTGTGTACGGAGAAAGTGGAACTTTCCTATAGGACACCCCCCCCCCCCCTGTGACTTGTTCTCATGAACTGCTGACACAGCAATAATACAATAACAACTTCTTATCTTTATTTAATGGCTTTGCAGATTGGCTGGTCCAAGCACTAAATGCATTCAACATTTGACAAAGAACATTTTGCACACCTGTCTCTGTGCAAGATGGCCTGACTTTCATGTGTAACTTTTTTTTTTTACAAAACAATCATAAATTACAAAAGTCAGCACACAAGAAAAAAACAACTAAGCAAATAAATACAATTCAAGATGAGCATTTTCAATTCAATTTCTTTCCAGACATACATCCTTTTCTTCCTGCTTCCTGAATAAGTTTTCTATTAATCTTTAAGACTTTTCCTCCCACTTCGGAGAGACAGAGGGAGAGGGAGAGGGAGAGGGAGAGGGGTCTCACTTTCAAGCTGAGCGGTAGCCCCTACAATATTTCTTCTCAGCTCGAGGAAGTTTTCAAAATCCCTTTTTTTCTCATTTCCCTTCGTTTTGCTTTACAGGTGAACTGAAGACAGTGACAACAAAAATTGTAAGCTTCGAAGACTAGCTGACGCAACAGCAGGTTTAACAAGATCCAAACACCTCACATGACAAGAATCGACAGATCAGGGGTCGCCAAACTGGGGGAAGGCTGGATCGCCAGGACAATTTGTCTTTGTTTGTTTTAGTAATGTTTTTACGCCGCTCATAACTGCATAAGGTCATATCATGAGCGCCAAGGGGTGGATGTCAAGAGAAGTCCCAACAGGGAATCAGGCGTGGAAACCACCACCAAACTTGTAAGATGTGTTTGTTGTAGTGAGCTCAGGGCTCCGTCACCAAAACAACTGAATCATTAATTTCATGGAGCTCTACAGTGCAAATTGAATGTGCTTTGAGAGATTTCAGAACTTCTAGCTAATGGATTTTTAAATGTATTCAGTATAGGTATTGAACCTTTGATACACTTCATAACTTCTAGCTAATGGATTTTTTAATGTATTCAGTATAGGTATTGAACCTTTGATACACTTCATAACTTCTAGCTAATGGATTTTTTAATGTATTCACTATAAAGGTATTGAACAGAATAGTTCTCCAGCCCACTTTGAAAACAGTTTGGTGACCCCTGCTCTTAATGAATGAAGAAACAGCTGCTGGGTAGAGGGAGAGAGAGCGAGATAGAGAGCGAGAGACGGAGAGAGTGTGTGAGAGAGGGAGAGAGGAAGGAAATGATGAGAGGAAAAACCAAACAGTGTGGTTTTCAAGTCTGTGATGAAGACGGGGATGACATGACGGAACGACGGAGAGAGGGCTTCCTGTAGCAGCGGCGGTCCTCGGTTGGTCTGGAGCGGCCTCTCATAAGTCTGTAGCTGACCGTGTGGGGGGGGATGTGGGGGGGCGTGGGGGAGGGGGGGAAGCAGAACGGCCCATCTGGGGAGGGGGAAAAAGAAAAGAATAAAGACCTCATAGTCCGAGGAGGGAAAGAAACAATAAACGTTTCGACTGCTTGTTGTTTCAGTTTTAGTAGAGGTTTTACCGCGCTCGAAACTGCACAAGGTCATATGAGCGCCAGAAGATTAGAGGTGTTACAAGAGAGTAACAAACATAAAAAAAAAGAAGGGAAGATAAGGACGATAGATGTTTGATAGGAATGAAAGAGCAAACCACAAACCTGAAAACCATGTGAGTCTAAAATTAGATGATGTTTTACTTTTATCTGAAAAGATCCCTTGAGAAACCCTCTTGCAGCATGTCTATAAAAGTCAAACATGTACTGTACAGAGATGCCACTGGGGTTTGTGAAAATACAGTTGTAACTATGGAACTGACAATTTGCAAAGTTGCATTTGTAAATTAAAAAAGACAGTTACTAGTTATCAGAAAAACTAATAAGGGGTTCAATAGAAAACAAATGCTAAGAATAAAAACTTTTCTATAAGTGAAAATAACCGAAATAACGGGACAAAAATGGAAAAACAGCATTTATGCTTGTATGTCTATGTTTTGGCAAGCTTGACACTCAACGCCGTTGTCCTTGAAAACAGCAATTTTGGACTTCCACAATTTGCAACTATTATCGTCGATACAAAAATAGCAAAGAGTAAATGACTCACTAAATGCGAGATGAGATAACAACTCACTAAATGCGAGACAGCTGATGCAGTAAATTGGAGGGGAGGATGGCCTCGAGCTTTTCCAGAACGTAACTCAGGGGAAGGTACAGCCAGCCCAGCATCTGGGGACAGACAAAACGTCACGCAGTCAGTCAGCTGATTAGTACAGTACAATAATAACAATAATAATGATAATAATAATAATACATTAAAAAAATAAAAAAAAAATAATAATAACAATAATAATAATAAAAATAATAACACAAAATAACAAATAATACTAATAACAACACAAAATACTAATTTAAAAAAATATTAACATATATATATAACACTAATTACAATAAATAATAATAATAACAAATAACACTAATAACAATAAATAATCAAAATACTAATTTTAAAAAATAATAATAAAAACAATAAATCATAAATTTTAAAAGTAAAAATAAAAACAATAAATAATCATATTAACAAATAAAAAAATAAAAAATAAAAACATAATAAAAATAAAAACAATAAATAGTAATAAAAATAAATAATAATAAAAAACACTAATAACAATAAATATAAATAATAAAAAATAATAACAGATAATCCTAATAATAACAGGATAAATATTAATAAAAACAATAAATAATTAATAAATTTTAATAATTATTCTAAAAACCGGTCAATAATAATAAAAAAACAACAATAAACAAAATATTAATAATAACGATAACAATAAATAATAATAATAATAAATAATATTAAACAACAATAATAAAAACAATAAATTATAATAATAATAATAAATAACAATAATAAAAACAATAAATTATCATAATAATAAAACAATAAATAATAGTAATAATAATATAAACAACAATAATAAAAACAATAAATAATCATAATAATAAAACAATAAATAATTATAATAATCAAACAATAAATAATAGTAATAATAATATTAACAATAAATAATAATAATAACTAAGCGTCAAAGGTAGATGCAGTTTTCCATGGACTCAGTGCCGATAGCTGCTCTTACTTCTTCATTTCTCTGCCTGTCTCGTCTTGTGATGTTAAGGGTTTTGCGGAGACATTTCATTTCGCATGCGGTGATTTTGCTTTCATGGGTTTTACTTAATGCCCAGGTCTGGTACTGGTAGCATAATGTTGGTGTAAATATTGAGGTGATAAGCTGTCTCTTTGTGTCCATGGAGATGTTTGGGAGAGACAAAAGGGGTGCGAGCTGGTAAGTGACAGCGCTGGCTTTTTGATTTCGTATTTTTATTTCTCAGTCCATGAGACAGACATAGACAAGAGATAGGAAGGGTGCGAGCTGGTAGGTGACAGCGTTCGCTTGTCGAGTTCGCATTTCCATTTCTCTGTCAATGAGACAGACATAGACAGACATAGACAGTCCTAGAAAACGCGGAAAAATGCAAAGTCCTCACCGTTCTGACGACGACGCCCATGGGCTCAGGGTACTGGTGTGTGAGGAGAGCCAGCAGCGCCGTGAAGGAACACAGGCCGGCCGTGAACAGGATGAAGAACGGGAGCTCCTTCTTGGGGTACACAGACACCTCGTGGAACGCTGATCAGAATAACAACAACAATAATAATAATAATGAGGAGGAGGAGGAGGAGGAGGAGGAGGAGGGGAAGAGGAGGGGAGGAGAAGGAGGAGAAAAAGGCCGTGAATAGGGTGAAGAACGGGAGCTCCTTATATGGGTACACAGACACCTCATGGAATGCTAGGGACGGTCAGTCAAAGGTTGGGGTATAGCATCATGATGAGAATACCGACAATTATAATAATATTAGTAATAATAATAAGGAGGAAGAGGAGAAGAAAAAAAAAAAAGAAGAAGAACAAGCAGGAGAAGAAGAAGATAAAGAATACAGATAATTTCTATAGACCCCACTCAAATACAATACAGCTCTAGGCTCTTAAAAACACCTTTTTTTAAACGTAAGAGTTTTACGGCACTCGCAACACAATAAGGTCATCTAAGTGCCGAGGATAAGGTGTTACATGAGAGTAACAAACACAAATTTGAGGGAGGGGAGATAAAGACGATAGACGTTTGATAGGAAAGAAGGAGCAAAACCACACTAGAGCACCAGCCAACCACCCACCTACAGCACCTTCATCATTACAAAAAATATGTGAAAATGAACATGCATATATTCCCACTCTAGATTATTCCAAATTGATGACAATATGCGCATCACAGTACGAAAATAAAGAACACTATGAACAGTTCTGCTGATGTGAATCCCCCAAAGTACATAGTAGCATGTTTGGAGCAGTAGTTCTGTTGGTACCGATTTGCGAAACATAATAAGGGTTCTGGGAGCATAAGAAAGTCAAGTCCAGGACAGGACCAAACAATGACGGTTCCCTGCTTCAAAGCATCAAAAAAACTCTTTTTTAAAATATAGTAAGAGTTTTACGGCACTTGCAACACAAAAAGGTCACAGAAGTGCCAAAGATTAGAGGTGTTACAAGAGAGTAACAAACAAAAAAAAGAAGAGGGGAGATAAAGATGACAGATGTTTGATAGGAAAAAAGGAGCAAACCACTCCAGAGCACATGCCAACTACCCACACACAAAAACATTTGCTTTGAAAAGTTGTCCAAAAGCCCAAAATCTGTGCCTCACCATCGCCTTCCTTAGTCAGCTGATGGACAGACACATGTGCCCACCACAACTACAACCTAAAAGAGTTCAAACAAAAGCGACGACTCACAAGGCAAGAGCTCTCTGTCAGCATTCTCTGTGCATGTGGGATATGGATGGAACAAATGGCCTTTTTCCAAAGGGTAGGGGATCATTCGGAAGGCTGGGGAGAAAAAGTTTTAGTTTTAGTAAATAATGTTTTACGGCACTTGCAACACAATAAGGTCATATAAGTGCCGAGGATTAGAGGTGTTACAAGAGAGTAACAAACACAAAAAAGAAGGTGGGGAGATAAGGACGATAGATGTTTGATAGGAAAGAAGGAGCAAACCACACCAGAGCACCCGCCAACCACCAACAGAGGTGTTACAAGAGAGTAGCATACACAAAAAAGGAGGAGAGATCAGGATGACATATGTTTGATAGGAAAGAAGGAGCAAACCAGACTAGAGCACCCGCCAACCACCCACTGAAATAGACAGAAAGCACAGGTATACAGTGCACTTACTGCCCTCCCAGGTGCAGAGTAACAAGTTGAGGGCTTCCTCCACCCGCCAACCACCCACAAACTCTCACTGACACAAACACAAAAGCACAGGTAGACACAAAACTTACAGCCCTCCCAGGTACAGAGTAACAAGTTGAGGGCTTCCTCCACCCGCCAACCACCCACAAACTCTCACTGACACAAACACAAAAGCACAGGTAGACATAAAACTTACAGCCCTCCCAGGTACAGAGTAACAAGTTGAGGGCTTCCTCCACCCGCCAACCACCCACAAA